GATAAGGTTTTCGTGGGAGGGCCCGGGAGTCAGGGTAAGGTTTTCGGGCGCAGCCAAAAGGAATGCGGAGTAGGTTTTCGCGCGGAGCCCATGGAGTTCGGATATGGTTTTCGTAGGACGGCAAGCGGATTAGGATAAGGTTTTCGTGGGGGGGCCCAGGAGTCAGGATAAGGTTTTCGGGCGGAGCCCAAGGAATTCGGATTAGGTTTCGTGCGGAGCCCATGGAGTTCGGATATGGTTTTCGTAGGTGGGGCCAGTGAGAAAACCAGATCCAACGAAAGCCTTATCCAGAAACAGTCTCCAGGGGCTCCGCGCGAAAACCTTACCCAAATTCCTTAGGCTCCGCGCGAAAGCCTTATCCTAACTACCGGGGCCCCCTACGAAAGCCTTCGCCTAACTCATCTCCCCCCCTGCGGAAACCAGATCCACACTCCGCGGGCTCCGCGCGAAGCCCTAATCCGAATTCCAGGCGCGAAAGGTATATCCCGGGCTCCCGTAAGAAAAACGCCTCCTCATTCACTGGCCTGCCTACGAAAACCTTATCCAAGCTCCAGGGGCGTGGCGCGAATACCTACTCAGAATTCCTTGGTCCTAGCGCGAAAACCTTATCCTAACACCCTGGGCCCGATACGGAAACCTTATCAGAACTCACTGCCCCCCATACGAATTCCTACCCAAACCCCAGAGGCTCCGCGCGAAAACCTCCTCCGAATTCCTTGGGCCCTGCGCGAAAACCTTATCCTAACGCCCAGGGCTCGCTGCGAAAACCTTATCCTAACTCACTGGCCCCCTACGAACACCTTATCCAAACTCCTTGGGCTCCGCGCGAAAACTTAGTCCAAATTCCCAGGGCTCTGCGCGAAAACCTTATCCTAACGCCCATGGCCCGCTGCGAGAACCTTATCCTAACTCACCGGCCCCACTACGAGAACCGTATCCACACTCCATGGGCTCCGAGCGAAAACCGGATCCGAGTTCCTTGGGCTCCATGCGACAACCTTGCCCTAACCCCTGGCCCCCCTCCGAAAACCTTATCCTAACTCACTAACCCCCTACGAAAACCTTATCCAAACTCTATGGGCTCCGCGCGAAGCGCGAACAACTTCGCGCCTCGCGCTGACGTCGCCCAGATCGCGAAGCCCGCGATGCAATCCCTCAATTGCCTAGCCCCAAGGATGCGAGGCGCGTGTACCTGCGCTCTGGAAACCGTCCTAGGCTCAGACCGCGAAGCGCGAAGCGCGAATAACTTCGCGCCTCGCTCTGACGTCGTCCAGACCGCGAAGCGCGAAGCGCGAATAACTTCGCACCCTCGAGGGAGACCTTAAAACAATATAGCAAAGAAGAGGGAGCCAAGCGTGCCGCTACGGGTAAGCCCGTTTAAGTTTGCTGTTTGGGGTCTCTATTAATAACCGACACAGTCGCAATATCCGTAACTCCTTCCTTCCTCGTTCCTCATGCCTCCTCACCTTCTTCCTCCTCCACCCCCTCCTTCTCCTCCTCCTCATCATCCTCATCCTCATCCTCCTCCTGGTTATCTTCCTCATGCTCCTCCTCGTTATCCTCCTTATCCCCCGCCTCGTTCAACCTCCTCGTTCAGGCAACAAGCCAGGACATCGCTGCTGGATGGACTGATAGAGGATACACGAAACGTCAAGAATTGTGCTACAAGCTTAAAAAATACTGGAAACTGCCGCCGTCCATTGCCCGCTCCGTTTATCTGAACATGCGACACGTTTACGTCGCCTGGGACTCCACCACGCCACGAAACCAACATGCCTGGCCTGGAACGACATTCCCATTGCAGATGCTACGAGGTCAACGCGCGGGAACCCAAATCCAGCAAGCTGGCCCCTTCCGCGTGCCGTACCAAGCCAGAGGCGAAGGACAGAGGCACGGGCTGCTCCAGATCGTTGCATCAGCACCCTCCCCGTGCCACACCGCCCGACGGCCCGCCACGGCCCTCCTGCCGCGCGCCGATCCCACCCCCTGGTGCCTGGCGCGACCCCGCCCCCCCTCGCACGCCCAGCGCTGCACGGGCTCGGACTGCTCCTGCACGCGTCGGGCTACTCCCGCACGCGATCCAGTCCCGCTTATCGAACAGCCCCGTGGGAACACGAAGGTACACGTCGGTCGGAAGAGAAGTAGGTAGAAACAGGAAGTAGGAAGGCGGATAAAGTGGATTGGGTCCAGGCCCTCCCAGAGAACAACGAAACACAGCAAAAGCCTGTCGATTCTTCAAGTAGGAAGGCGCTTGAAGTAGATTGGGATCTGGGAATCCAAAAATACCTACTTTCAACGACCGGCGTGTACAGATACCACTGATCCTCCGTGAGCCCTTTCGAGCTCCCAATGAGCAACGAACACGAAACTCGAGCAAGACAGCCCGAGGTCCCTGAGCTTGCCCCGTGAAACGTGCAGCCGAAGATGGGCGAAACCGAGCAGACGAAGAACGGGGCCGACGGGAGAGGAGGAGGCGGAGGAGGAGGAGGAGCGGAGGCGGAAGGATAGGCAGCGTGGTTGCCGAAAACGGCCAGCACGCGAGCCAGCTGCTGACAACCTTGGGCTCCGTTGAAAACCTCGAGCCAAGCCCGGCCGCGACGACTGGGGGAAGGAAAGCGGCTTCGGCACGTCGTTCTCCTCTGAGGCTCGGAGCACCGGCGCTGGCTCGGAAGGGGGCGCGAAGCGCGAGAGGCCTCGGGAAATCGGGGGTGTGGCAGAAACACAATCGGTGACGCGCCGCCTAGGGGAACCCATCAGCAGACGTAGCGGGAGAAAAGACTGCATAAGCACAAGCTGTCGGCGCTACGCGCGGAGTTCTTGGATCGGCGCCAGAACCTGCTGGCGGCGCCTCTGGTGCCGCCCCTGGTGCCTCCGCGAGGCAGAGAAGTGATTTCCTCATGCCCTCGGACAAGAACGAAGGAGCGACACGCTGACAGGGGTCCCAACGGCGGCGCGTCATTGACTCTCTCTGCCCCTCCCGAAACGCCCGAGGCCTCAGGAGATGGCTTTCGAACCCCGCCTTATGTCGCGAGCAGGACACGCAACTGAGGGGCGACGTTAGCGGGGCCCCAGCCAAAGATAAATCGAGCATCGTCGTAATAGAGTCAAAGGGGCAGCTCCTTTCAGTTGATCTCTCCCCCGATTGGTGGGGGGTGAAGGTTGTTGGGGGGGTTCTGATGGTCGTGACACTCCCCCCGTGGGGGGGCACCCCTCCCTGGGAAAAGCTTTCCCATTCCATGCCCTGGCGTCCAACCGGCTTCCCCCTCAGGGCCAGCAGCACCGGCCGCAAGGCCGCCACGCCACAAGGCCTTCACACAACCGTGTGCCCCGGATAATCATCACCCCGGGATAATGAAGTTCGGGGGTCTGGCGGGGATAATCAACGATGTTCCCTGGGAAGGTGATGTTAGTTATAAGTTGAGATGGTGATGCTGACGATGATCATGATGATTGTGAAACTATGAATCAGAATAGAACATGTTGCTAATATACAAGTTATTGTAGGTAGAATAATACTAATAAGAACGATTATAGTTATAACAACAATAATGATGATGATGATGATGATGATGATGGTGGTGATGATGATGATGATGATGATGATGATGATGATGGTAATGATGATGATGACGACGACGATGATGATGATGATGGCGATGATGATGATGATGATGATACTGATAATGATGATGATGATGATGATGATGATGATGATGATGATGATGATCATGATGATGATGATGATGATGATGATGATGATGCTGATGATGATGATGATGGTGATCCTGGGCGCTCGTGTAGACTGACCTTGTAGATCTTGGCACAAGACTAAACTCGAGAGATCTCGAGGCTCGTGGCTACAACTTGCCTGTGCAAGAGAGGTCCTTGGCCGTTCTGGCCAAGAAACCTCTCTTACGCACGACTTCAAACCACTCGGCCAGGGAGCGTTGAGGGCCTCTGGGGCCCCTGGCATTCAAGAACACACACACAGAGAGAGATCACGCGGCGCGAGGCGGACTGGTGCGGGGGTCGGAGAAGCGGTGCGAGATGTTGGGCACGGATAGAGCACGGAGAGAGTCGAAGGCGCGCGGCACGCGTCCGCCGGCCAGCGAGATCCCCAGCTGCCCCCAAAGAGGGCCCACGGTGCCCTCAACGGAGTCTCAAGGTTACCTCTGAAGGGCCGAAAAACGCCCCGAGGGGGCTCCAGCAGGCCTCGAGAACATCCTCAGACGACACAAGATGTGTGCATCTAGGCGTGAACACATGACTCTCAAACAAACACGAGACGCCAGGCTGAAATACACATGTTCTGCCAATACGCGCGAATATACTCACGACTGGATGCGCACGTCACGTTCACATCAGAATGGTGAACGGGGAAGGGGGGGGGTCTGGCTCCAGACCTCTGCTTCGTGCGACTGTTTCAAACAGGGCGTCCATTATTGGGGAGACTCCACCTGCTCGAAACAGGCGCCAAAAACGGTCAAGATCGGCTCCATAGGGGGGGGAGGGGGTGCGAGGGCCCGCGCCGATGGGCGGAACAATGAATAAGAAAACGATCACATGTGAAATGTTGCTTGACATACGTTTGACGAGCGCCAGAAGACTTGGAGAGACACCGTGCAGATACTGCACGTGTGTAGACATGTTGCTCACCAAATGCACGAACTGCACTACGCCACAACTCTGAATATGCGGAAAGGAACCTGGTAGTGAACACAGTGGCGTGGCGACTATTTCAACTTTCCCCGTGAGACGACACAGATACCGAAGAGAGCTAGATGAATACACGATGAGCGCGGTGCGAACTCAACACGAAGTCCAGGTGAATGAACTGCTCGCCCGAATCAAATCTTGAAGTCTTACTAGGCTGGGAACGACGCGTCCACGCCACGGAAACTACGCCACAGTTTTGCCTATGGCCGATCCCCCTCACATTCGAAGAGGCGGCACCCAAACAAAAAAGTCCCTGTGCGGCGCGCAGACAGACAGCTCGCAACCTCCGGACAGAAGCCGTGCGCACAGTTGAAGTCGTATGGGTACTCGTCCTCAGCCAGCACGAACCAAGGACGCTGAAAGCATTGGTAGAAGCGACAACGTTGAGGTGCAATCAATTCCGCATGCGAATAATGGAAGAGATTCCAGCGAAAACACATCCGCCGACCAATCGGCGTGTGTGCGACGCTTTTCTGTTTGATCCGTCGTCGTCGTCGTCGCCTCATCGTCGTCGTCGTCGTCGTCGTCGTCGTCGTCGTCGTCGTCGTCGGGATCGTCGCCGCCGCCGCAGTCGTCGTCGCCGCCGCCGCCGTCGTCGTCGTCGTCGTCGTCGTCCTCGTCGTCGTCGTCGTAGTCATCGTCGTCGTCGTCGCCAGTCCCAAGGAAATTGAGAAACAAGGCAAAGGAACGTCGCAAAAAGTCGATTCCCTTTTCTGCTTCCCTTCCCTGACGGGGGAGGGGGTGGGCGGGTGGGGGAGAAGGATGGGGGTGGGTGGTGGGGCGTGGGTCTCGGGTGAGAATACCGCCCCCCACCGGGAGTCCCGGCGGGTCCCGGGGGGGGGGGCCAGCGGGGGTCCTGTGGAAACTCCCGCTTCCAGGGTCGGCGGCGCCAGCGATAAGGCCTTCGGAATACTCGAGGCGAACACTCAAAGGAAGCGTAGCAGCAGCAATCGACGCGTCGAAAAACACACGCCACCAATGTCCCTGCACCAACAAGAAACGGCATCCTCAAGGCGATGTTGACAGGCCACCTTACCTACGAATACCTGGGCAACTCACCAAAACACTGATGCAGAAAGCGCCATGGTGATGAAGGTGGTGGTGGCGATAATGGTGGTGACGGTGACTAGACAGAGGGAGAATGACCTTGTGGCACCCACTTCGTCACAAAGACAATCATGCTTGTGATCCTCCCGCCTGCTCCTGCTCTTCCTCCCAGAGCCAGGAAGGCGAGGGAGCGGCATGACTAGCCCGCCAGGGAAGACACGCAAATAGACATAGAACTTCCATCGAGCCTTCTGTTCTCCTCCTCCTCCTCCTCCGCCTCCTCCTCCTCCTACTGTGCATCATTCCTCAGTCCCCTCCACATACCTCCTCCTCCTCTACCTCCTCCTCCTCCTCCTCCTCCTCCTCCTCCTCCTCCTCCTCCTCCTCCTCCGCCACTCAGAGTTCACGCCCGGCGCAGTTTCAAGCCCTCGCGATGGTACAGAACATACGCTAGAAGCCCACCAGCCCGATCCCGATCCCGATCCGCCGCCTCTGCCCATGCCTCCCCCGACACCTCCAACATCTAGCATCTCACACAGCGCGGACAACCCGAGGCAAATCTTATACCAGGCATACCCTGATTTCGGAAAACTGCCACGTTACTGGGTAATGGTGTGGGTTTCGTGGCTACGGTTGGCGTTGGCAAGAGAGCCTGCAACATCGATCTCGAAAATCACGCTATCCCTGAGAGGCGATCACCCCGCGAGGGCCCCTCCTGAGCTCGCAGTCCCCATGACGAGAGTCCCAAGGTGGGGGATCGTGTGCAATAAGCGGGCAAGTGGCGCCACATCGCACGCCACCTCTCCAATGCCAACCGAAACGTTTGAAAAATGCCAGGTTACTTAGCCGTGTCTCGAGTTTCCGTGACGAACCCATACGACTGCATTTTCGGAAACCTCCTGGGGCCGCCTGGGAGCCTTCAAAAGGCGATGCCGAAACGAAGGCTCCACTCTTGAGGGAGAGCTGAAGGGGCCTTGGAGCCGATCCAAGATATCCGCGCGGAGTTCCAAAGGTGTATGTTCATGCATTTGCTTCTTCTTGTTCTTCGAGGGATGAAAGAGGCAGGAGAGACTGGTAAACGTGCACATAGAGGAGGAAGAGCAGTAGCAGCGGGAAGGTAGTGGAAAATGAGGAATTCGGAGGCGTGTCACTGGACGAGTAAGCGGTCCCCCCCCCACCGTGGAAGTCGTGACCCCGCTTGCCCACCTGTCCCCCCCCCCCCCCCCGTAATGGTGCCGCCTCCTCCGAACTTCGCGGCACCGACTCCCACCCCAGGGGGTTGGAAGCGGCCGGGGGGTCTGCGCTGCGTGGGCCCCGAGGAAGTCTGTCAGGAGAGGGGGGCGAGAGCAAATCCGCTCGAATCGGTTCCCGGACCCCTCCCTGGGTCGAAATTGATCGGTTTGTCGAGCCGTGTCCACCCGTGGCGATGAGCTGGCCGCAACCAATGCTGGGCCGGCTCAGCGACCCGGCCAGCTCCAAAGAGGGGGCGCACGCTGGGAAAGCTGGCTTAACCTGTCCCCGTGGGGATGGGGGTGTCTCTGACGATGATGAGCATCCGGCACCACACCTTCCTGGTACGCTGGGGCGTGGTATGATGCCGAATGCTGTCTGGTCACACACTGCGTAAACATCAAATGTCAAATCTCCACGCAGATGTCTTCAATCGGCGCAGGGGCCCCCCTGGCGGCGCCTCGGGCGCAGCCGCTGGCGCGCTCCGCGCGCCAGGGAGGGGGGTCCAGCGCCGATCCAAGGAATCCGCGCGGAGCTCCGAGTGACAGTGCTCGCACGTAGGGGCCTTACTTAGGTTCTGAGGGATTGCGGGTCGGCGGTGTGTCGATGTATGGGTGTGTCGGTGTGCTCTAAGGAATGGCTGCTGGTGTGTCGGTCTGGCGGATATGTAGCCGCCGTCGCCGCCCGGTCGCCGCCTCGTCGCCCGCCGTCTGGGCCTGTGTGCCGCAGCCCCATCGCCGCCTCGTCGCCGCCCGTCGTCTGGGCAGGTGTGCCGCTCTGGCGGCCATGTTGACGCCGTCGCCGCCACGTCGCCGCCTCGTCCCCACCCTAGATTGCACAACACAGTTGCGCCGCATAGATTGCACCACAAAGATTGCACCGCATAGATTGCACCACATGGATTGCACTACATGGGTTCCACGACGTAGATTGCGCCACAGATAGTGCACAGCAGATATTACATCGCATAGATTGTACCCCATAGATTGCACCAGGGATGGTGCGCAACATAGACTGTACCACACGGATTGTACAACTTAAACTGCACCACATAGCGTGTACAACATAGATTGTACCGCGTACATTGCACAACATGGATTGCACAAAAGATGTTGCACCACATAGATTACGCCACATTATGTTGCACCACACATGTTGCACAATATATATATATATATATATACATATACATATACATATACATACATATATGTATATATGTGCATATGTGTATACTATTATTGGGCCACATAGACTGCATCACACGACTTGCACAACATAGATTGCACCGCATAGGTTGCACCACATGGGTTGCACTACCTAGATTGCACCACATAGACTGCACAACTAATCTATTGCACCACTTAGACTGCACCACATAGCTTGCACAGCATCTATTGAACCGAGTAAATTGCACCACATGAATTGCAAAACATAGATTGCCCCACACATATTGCGCCACATAAACTGCCCCACCTAGATTGCACAACACGTGTTGCAACACATCTATTGCATAACATAGATTGCTAGAAGCACCCTGTTTGGGCTGCACGCTGGCTAACATGCTCATTCAGGTTGTGTTGTCTCGACTTCAAAATACATTCACCCCCCCTCCAGAGCCTGTATGGGCGGCCCGACTCGAGTCGGCGACGCCTCCCTGGCGGTTCCCTGGGCATCCACCACGAAGCCCAAGATGGCTCCCACTGCAGTCCTAGAGAACCTCCAGGGATGTCTAAAAGATCTCGAAGACGACCGAAGGCGGCCCAAAGTGAGGCCCCGAAAAGTCCCAAGAATCATTGAACCTAGCATGTCCGTGCTTTAGGGATCCTACGGTTTGGGGTGTCTGAAGCGAGGGCGTAAGAGGGCACAAAGAGGACCTCAGTGGCACCATAGCCACACCGAGAGGAGACTCGAGAGAGCCCCTGGAGGGCTCCGAGAGGCCAAAAATGGCGCGAGAGGGCGCCCAGACAGCCCAGGAGGGGACCCTGAAAGCACTCCGACGACACAAAACTGTTCAAGAGGGCCACAAGGCCATCGAGACGCTGGCAGAAGGCCCCCAGGGGCGCACCAGCGCGGTGCGTCAGCACGGCGGGCGGAAACTCCGCCGCCGGCGCCTCGGTAAAGGCGGAGGCTCCCAGCCAGCGCCAGGCAGGCCTCGAGGCAAGCCGACGCCAGTGTCATGGGCATCGTTGAACTGGACCCTATCCCGTCTAGCGTGGCCTGGGCCCCACTGGCCGATTTGCGCCCTTAGATGGGGATGTAGGCTGTTCTGTTCCCTGCGAGTTTGTCACGTCCCAGGCGGCGGTAATGGGATGGTGGGGACCAGGATGGGGATGGGGACAAGAATCGGTTAAATGATACTGAGATCAGCCGCAATGTCAGACGCTCCTTCTGGGGACCTTCCTGGAGCCACTCGCTCCACTTATTTCGTCGATGCTGCGTCAAGCGCCCAGCGCCTTGATTCAAGTTTGAGTCTTGCCAGAGTCGAACTAGAGGTGAGCCAGCTTCGAACCAGTCGACCAGATCCGTTAGGTGGCCCAAAAGAAGGTCCCCCAAACGAGCATGTACGCCAGGATCGGCAGCAGTGACGGGCACTGGTCCTCGCTGTCGGGCGTCCCGTCCCCGTCGGTGTCCCCGTCAGCGGCGCAGCCCTGCTCGTGGCACATCGGGTTGTAGGGGGCGGCGTCCGCGATGTCCGCCACCTGTAGGTAGGCATGGCCCGCCCCAAAGGATCACAGCCGCGCGCGACAGCAGAAACTCACACTGGCAAGCAATTTATGGGAGGTCACTGTGAGAACTATGAAAGCAAAAATCCGATCCAGCCCAATTTGAGGCCATCAAGCTAGATCGGCCTAGACGAAGCCCATGATTTAGCGGAGGCGAGCTGGATTTAGGCGGGACGATGCCGGATTAGACAGGTTTTGGACCACCGATATACCAGCGTCGATGCTGAATATAACCTCTCAGGAGTTGCATGCTCGCGCGTACGATTTTCCCACCCCTAGCGCGAGATCGGCGGGAAGCGGCCGAAGCACGGCCGCAAGAGGTCCCGACAGCGTCCCCGGGGAGCGTGTTTCGTCCCAAATGAGTGTTTATGGTCCTGGGGCCCGCAAAGGGCCTCCGCGGGGCGAAATCGAGAGAAAAGCGCCAGTTGAACAAAATCATCCGCCACTTGTTCTTCTTCGAGGGGGGGGCCCTCCATGGCGCTAAGCCTGGGAGCGTCCTCGGCAGCGCGACGGAGGGGGCTCCAGCGCCGATCCAGGAGATCCGCGCAGAGCTCCGAAAGTCTGTGCTTGTGCCAACGCTCCTCCTTCGACTCCCCGATCCTGGGACGAAGGCGAGCAGGCAGGCCGGGCCGCGATCGGCGCGGTGGGGGACAGCCCATGATGTCCTCTCTCACTCTGCTGACGCGCGTGCGCACCTTGACACGGATGCTCGACCCGCCTGGGACTCGCCTAACCCAGGGGTGAGCTCGCTGGCTTAGCCTTCTCAGGCCCACGACGCACTGGTTTTGTTCACACCGTGGGCCCCCGGAGGGCTCGACCCACTCCCCGGGGCGGGCTTGTAGTGGACGAACGAATAGCACACACACACACACACACACAGACACACACACACACAAAAAAAAAAAAAGAGAAGGGAGGGAGGGAGGAGGACTGGCCTTGGGTGATTACGGGTGCGGGGTGTCAGGCCCTGGGGGAGGCTCCCCTTCGAACGGGGGGGAACCCCACCCGACAACACGCGCCCATAAGCCAAGCCCCCTCCGCCCCCCCGAAGGGTACGGGAGCGTGTTCTTCGCTCGTCATGTGGAGGCCTCCCAGATGGGGCCTGCCCGCCTGCCTGCCTTCGTCCTCCCTGGCGTCGTGATCAAGACCACGGCGGGCAGCTGGTCGCTGCTCTCGGCCAAGGGGGGGCCCTCGCCCGGCCCTGGGACCGTTCAACATCTGCTCAGGATCGAAACCGCGGGGCCTCCAAGATGGGGCCCGCGTAGATGGGGTCGAAGGATCGCGCCGCATCGCCGATGTATCGGACGACGCATCGGCGGTGCATCGGCGACGCCGGCGTGGAGACCATCAGGCTGCAGATCGAGCCGCATCGCCGATGTATCGGCGATGCGGCGCGATCCTCCGACCCGATCTACTCGGACCCCATCTGGGAGGCCTGGCGCTTTTCATCCTGAGCAGATGTTTGACGGTCCCAGTGCCTGGCGAGAGCTCCCAGGGCTCTGCGCGAGCCCCCGGAGGCCGAGAGTAGCGACAAACTGTCCGTCGTGGTTTTGTTCACGACCCGAGGGAGGACGAAGGCAGGCAGGCGGGCAGGCGGGTGGACCAAGTGGCGACACCGACGACGCCGGTGACGAGGACGACAAGGACGCCGGCGACAAGGACGACGAGGACAAGGCGGACGACGACGACGACGACAATGACAACGATGACGATGACGTCGACGATCTCCGCGGCGCAGCCAGGACCAGTTTCAGCCCCCGAGAGCACCCCGTCGCCGTCGCTGTCGACGCAGGCCTCCTCCCAGCAGAGCGGGTTGAGCGGTGCGGGATCCTGGCGATCTGGAATTCCATCACCATCGGTGTCCTCGGAGGCCAGGGGGAGGAGGACCAGCAGATCCAGACACTCTTGCGTCGTGAGGCAACTATCCTGGCGACAGACCCAACCAAATGCGGTTGTGAATACCGACGCGAAGCGTACCGCGTTCGGTAAAGCTCCCCATGGGGAGCATGAGGTCGAGTCCATTGGGACCCTTCGGTGGAGCTTCCTATGAGGTCACGAAACGTTGTAGTGGGTGTGGGGGAGACGCATGCGAACGTCGCCTCTGGGGCCTTCGGTGGAGCCCCGTATGGGGCCACGAAGCGCTCTGCTGGTACTGGGCGGGGGGACGCATGCGAACGTCGCCTCTGGGGCCTTCGGTGGAGCTTCCCATGGGATCACGAAGCGCCATACTGGACTGGGGAGACGCGTGCGAACGTCGCCTCTGGGGCCTTCGGTGGAGCTCCATCTGGGGCCTCGAAGCGCTGTACTCGATGGGGGAGACGAATGCGAGCGTCGCCACTGAGGCCTTCGGTAGATCTCCCTAAGGGGCCGCGAAACACTTCAATGAATGGGGGGGGGGCGCAAGCGAGCGTCGGCACTGAGCCCTTCGGAGGAGCTCGCTATGGGGCCACGAAACACTGTACTGGGTTGGGGAGACGCCTGCGAACGTCGCCTCTCAGGCCTTCGCTGGAGCCTCTTATGGGTCCGCGAAGCGTTGTGCTTGGTGGGGGAGACGCACGCGAACGTCGCCTCTGGAACCCTCGGAGGAGCTCCCTATGGGGTCACGAACCGCTATACTGCGGGGGTGACGCGTGCGAACGTCGCCTCTGGGGCCTTCGGTGGGCTCCCTGTGGGGCTACGAAACGACGCGTGCCAACGTCGCCGCTGGGGCCTTCGGTGGAGCTCCCTATGAGGTCACGAAAGGCGTGGGGTGTGCCGAAGTGGTCGACACGCGGAGGGCAGAGGCAGGGACGGGAGGAGGGAGGGAAGGGCAGAAAAGGTGAGGTGCGCGGGGCGCTGTCTCTTCAGAACGAGGACCCACAACCACCAGATGGACGGGAGAAACGTGCGCTGCTTGCAATTCTCTGCACCTGGGGGCCCTCGCCGGGCCCCGGGGCCGTCGAAAGCGACTCGGAATGAAATGCCGGTCCCGAGGGATGGGTCCGGTCCCGGGGAATGGGTCGAGGCCTCGGGGGATCGACGCTGCGACAAAAATCACGACGTCGGGGGTCTGGAGAAGCAGACAGACGAAGAGGCGGGGGCAGGGGCACCCAGGAAGCCTCGCCAAGGACTTGCCAGGGGCATCTCTGCCCCCTCTGCCGGAATGTGAGATGGGGAGAGAAGCCTACGAGATACGCTGGTCCGTGGTGTCCAAGATCAAAGCGCACCGAAACATCGAAGATGCGACACGTGACCTGGAGCAAATGTTTACGCTCGACGGGGAGCGGAGCTCTACAACCTGGCCCCTGACAAACTCAACGCATGTTTGCCAAAGAGCGTGGTTATCGTGAATCGTGCCGCGGAGTTGCGGCTGCCTTGAAGTCATGGCCCCCTGTGAGCCAGCATTCCCCAACCTGGGTCGGAGCGTCGTGGAACTGTCGGGATGAGGTGTCATCCAACGTTAATTGTTCCGCGCGGTCAGCTCAACCAGGCCCCCGCCTCCCTCATGTACGGGAGGGGTCGGCCCTGGACACAAGCTCCATTCGAGGGGTCAGCGGAGCCGATCGAATGTTGAGTGTGGCTCGGTATCATTGCCACGAAACGCTGCACTGAGTGGGGGGGGGCGCATGCGGACGGTAGCACTGGAGCCTTCGGTGGAGCTCCCTATGGGGCCACGAAACGCTCTACTGGGTGGGGGAGACGCGTGCGGGCGGTAGCACTGGGACCTTCGGTGAAGCTCCCTATGGGGCCACGAAACGTGTGAGGGGTGTGCAAAAATCCCACCGGCACTCTGGGCGTAGGTGGTTTAGGGAGTTTCCTCTTCCACCCCTCCTTCTTCCCCTTCGGGGATGGGTTTACCCCTCCCCCTAACCCCCTCCCCTGGACCTGGACGGGGGGGGCCGCTGGTCGGCAGAGCGTCCAAGATGGCCCAAGACGGCTCCAAGAGCGCTTCGGAGAGCCCAAGATGATCTCCAAGATGGCTCGAGATAGCCTAAGATGTCTCAAGATGGCTCCGAAGATGCTCCAGGAGGCCCCAAGACCGCCCCAAGACGGCTCCAAGACGGCTCCAAGAGGCCAAATAGCCTCCCAAGGAGGCCTCCAAGAGGCCAAAATCCTTCAAAAACCTGAGGAAAACCCCCTGGAGCCGCCAAGAGGCCCACGCGATGCCCCGCGAGGCCTCCAACAAGCTCCCAAGATACATCCGAAGAGACTCCGACAAGCATTCAAGAAACCTCTGGCCATCCTGCTCTCACTTTTCCTCCTCCTCCTCCTCCTCCTCCTTCTCATCCTTTTCCTCCTCCTCCTCCTCCTCCTTCTCCTCCTTCTCCTCCTCCTGCTCCTCCTCCTCCTCCTCCTCCTCCTCCTCTCCTCTTCTTTCCTCCTCCTCCTCCTCCTCCTCCTCCTCCTCCCCATCCGCCTCATCCGCCTATTCCTCCTCCTCCTCCTCCCTCCTCCCTCCTCCCTCCTCCCTCCTCCCCCGTTTTCCCACCTGCTGCCCCTCCTCCCCCTCCCCCTCCTCCTCCTCATCCTCCTCCGATTCCTCCTCCATCCTCGCCGTCTTGGATAAGACAGGTTCCCCAGCCCTTGGTTACTCTGTGTGCTCCCTCACTTCCCTGACACTCCCATTCGCCTGGGCATTCGCTGGTCGAGAACCAACAACACCAGCAGCAACAGCAGCAGAAGAAATACCAGCAGGAGCAAGAGCACCAGCAGCAACACATGCAACCTTCACCACAAAAGATATCCCAATTCACCGCTGTTGCCCGCTCAGTTTCACTATGCGCGTCTCTTCTGCTTTTCTTCTGTCAGCTCCCCTACGCATCGTTTGTGGATGGGCTGGTGGGTATATGCGTAGCGTCTAGAATTGTTGGCTGGTGCGGAAGGCAAATGCAGGGATGGGAGGAGGGAGGGGGAGGGAAAAGGAAGAGGAAGAAACGCGGGGACTGCCCCTTCAAAACGAGGACCTCACACCACAGGATGGTTAGGAAAAACTGGTCAGAAAGCCGGGGGCGTTCAGAACCTCCTGAAAAAGACCCACCGCCTCTGCCCTCCCTCCTTCCCGTCCATCCCTGGCGAGCGTGAGTCCCCAGCGAACGGGCACGCTAGCGTCGCGCCTGACAGGGTTATGCCCTGCATTGGTGGGCCGATGAGTTGTCACGCCAGGCTTCGCAAACTAGTAAATTCTAGACGCTTCGCGTAACCCCACCAGCGCCAACGCTCTCGCCCCGTCTCGGCACCAGTTCGACCTTGACCGACGGTCCTTTGGGCCACCATGGTACTCACGCAGTTGTCAGGGTTTGCGTCCATGCATTAATTTCGGCTTCTGGCCTGGGTCGTCGTGTGTCCTGACTTCCTGGTGCTTCCGACGCTATGCATACTTGCGCGCTGGGAGCACGACTCAGTTCCAGCTGCCCCCCCACTCGCCGGTCCGCCGCTCAGCTGCTGCGCGAGGCCCCGGTTAGCCGCTGTAGGTGTGGCCACCTTCCGCTGTTTTAGTTTAATTCGTCACTGCGTGCCCCGCTTTGACTGGACTCGCCGCCGGCGCGCTCGCCCGCGGCCGCTGACTAAAAATAACTCCACCAGCCCGCAGCCTCTGGCTCAAGCCGTCTCGGCTCGACCCCGCCCCTGGTCCAGTTCCGCTCCGCGCTCGGCCTGCCGCGTTGGCCTCGGCGCCGGCGCCCCCCTGCTGCTGCTGCCCGCGGCGGGCCGCCTGGCCTCGGCCTGCCCATGGCTGCTGCTGCTGCCGCCGCCGCCGCCTCCCCCCCAGAGTGGCGTGCGCGCGGCGGCGGGCGGCGGTGGCGCCGCGGCCTGGCTGCCGCGGGCTGGGCCCGCCCCCCGCTGCTGCTGCTGATGCCGCCGCCGCCGCCCTCCTCCCGGAACCTGGCGTGCGCGCGGCGGCGGGCGGAGGCGGCGCCGCGGACCTGGCCGCCGCCGGCCGCGGCGGGCCGCCTGGCCTGGGCCTGCCCCTGGCTGCAGCTGCTGCCGCCGCCGCCGCCGCCTCACCCCGAGGTTGGCGTGCGCGCGGCTGGCGGCGGTGCCGCTGCAGTCCTGGCTGCCGCCGCCCGCGGCGGGCCGCCTGGGGGCCCGCCCCCGCTGCCGCTGCTGCCGCCGCGCCGCCGCCTCCCCCCCGGACGCTCGCGTGCGAGTGGCGGCGGGGCGGCGGTGGCGCCGCGGGCCTGGCTGCCGCCGCCCGCGGCGGGCCGCCTGGCCGGGCCCGCCCCTGGCTGCAGCTGCTGCCGCCGCCGCCGCCTCCCCCCCCGGAGGCTGGCGCGCGCGCGCGGCGGCGTGCGGCGGTGGCGCTGCAGACCTGGCTGCCGCCGCCCGCGGCGGGCCGCCTGGCCTGGGCCGCCCCTCCTGGCTGCTGCTGCTGCTGCTGCTGCTGCCGCCGCCGCCGCCTCCCCCACAGGAGGCGGGCGTGCGCGCGGCGGCGGGCGGCGGCGGCGCTGCCGACCTGGTTGCCGCCGCCTGCGGCGGTCCGCCTGGCCTGGGCCTGCCCCTGGCTGCTGCTGCTGCCACCGCCGCCGCCTCCCCCCCGGAGGCTGGCGCGCGCCCGGCGGCGGCTACTCCGTGCGGCACCGACAGCACGACGACCAGCTCGTGCGTAGCCAGCAGCACGGCTGCCTCTTCCACCACCTGGACTTCCACCGCTTCGTTGTTCGGCAGTATGCCTCAGACGACCAGCAAAGCGACCTCGGGCAGCACGGCCGCGACTAGCACGGTCTCGTGCTCGCGTGTGCGCGCGTCCGTGCGTGAGTGCGTGCGTGCTTGCGTGCGCGCGTGATTGTGTGCGTGTGCGTGTGATTGTGTGCGTGTGCATGTGCGTGTGCGTGTGCGTGTGCGTGCGTGTGCATGTGCGCGTGCGTTTGCGTGTGCGTATGAGTTATGCGCGTGTGCGTGGTTGCGTGTGTGTGCGCGTGTGCATGTTTGCGTGTTTGCGTGGTTGAGTGGTTGTGTGTTTGTGTGTTTGTGTGTTTGTGTGCTTGTGCGTTTGTGTGCGTATGTGTTTGAGTCGGTGTGATCGTGTTCGTGTGGTTGTGGGTTTGTGTGTTTGTGTGGTTGTGTGTTTGTGTGTGTGTCAGTGGTTGTTTGTTTGTGTATCGTTGTTTGTGTGTGTGTGTTTGTGTGTTTGTGTGCTGTGTGTTTGTGTGTTTAGGTGTGTGTGTGTGTGTGTGTTTGTGTGTGGTGTGGCTGTGTTTGTGTGTAGGTGTGTTTGTGTGTCTGTCCTTTTGTGTGTTGGTGTGGTTGTGTGCGTGTCTGTGTGTATGTGTGGCCCTCTCGTTCTTCGCAAAGCAATTGTTGGTGCCACCCGACGCATCGAGCCCAATATGCGTTCATTTGTACGACCCAAATCCCTGCGCGTTGGGCCTTCCAGGCAGAGAATGTGCACAAATACGAGGTTTGGGGAGAGACGTCCAATGGAAAATCCACACACACAAACACACGCACATACGCACACACACACACACAAACACACACACACACACACCAGCGCCAGCCCCCCCCCCCCCTCTGGGGCCCGCCCCAGCGCGGTGGCGGAATCGCGCGGGCGCGCCACTGGATAAAAATTCTTTGCATCTCGTCAGGGCGCGTGCTCCGATCCAGAGTGCCCGACACCCACCCCCTTCTGCTCCTCTTCCTGTCCCTATTATTACCATTCCTCCCTCTCCCTCTCACCATCCGCGCCCGCCTCATCTCCCCCGCCCCCGCCTTCTTTCCTATCCATCGTTCGTTGCCCTCCGCCTGCTGCTGCTGCCGCAGCTGCTGCTCCGCTGTTACGCGGACCCCCTCCAACCGACCGCCGTCCTTGTCGCCGTCGTAGCAACTCTCTGACGAGCATGCGCTGTTGCACGGGGCCGCGTCCTCGACGGGTGGCCACTCTCGCGCTGCCATCTCTTCTCCACGTACCCTTCGATCCATCCGAAACCTCTGAAGGGCAGTTCGGGGCTTCTGGGGTGCACTCTTGGGCAGGAATCGACCACGACAATGTTTAGAACGAAGTTGTTTTCGAAACTGACATTCAAGACGAACGTTCAAAACGACACGCTAAAATGAAACGGCCAGTAAACGAACACATACAAGAAGATACACGAGGCCGCCATCCGGCGACAATAGAAACGAGCAACTAAACGAAGTTCGCAGATAACGCTCATGCAAGATGGCCAAAGGCTTGGGACCATGTTGGGCAGCATTGGTGCGCAGTTGGGGTCCCTGGACCCCTAGGCCTATCTTGAGGCCTCTCGAGGGCACCGAACGCATCTTTCGGCCTCGTCATGGCGAGGCCTCAAGGCAAGGCTCCTCGAGCCGCTGCGGGCGTCGAGTCCATGCGAATCGCTAGGGCCGCGTGCACGCCGCCTCTGGCATCGCGTGAGCCTTGCCGTGGGGCAGTGGCAAGAGGGAACGCGTGCGGGGGGAGAAAGCTGAGCCGGGGTAGGAAGGACCAATAGAAACCCAAGACGCATCAACGATGTTGCAATACACCCTCCCTCCACGCTCAGTCTTCATAGGGCCCGGCAAGGCTGTATTGTCATGGCGGGAACGGTCGTATTTGAAGACAGCCGCTTGAAACCTCCAAATCGTGCCAAAATCCAAGTCCTCGGACTTCAGCGCCGCGAATCAACCTGACCGCTGCGCCCTGGCAGCCCTAAATCGCGTCACCGCGCTACTCCTTTGATATCAATACAGCGAATCAGGGTGACTGCTGCCGCCTGGCAATCCTGCAAAAATCGCGCCGGAACGCATCCTGGGATTTCAGCGCCACGAACCAATATAACTGCTGTGTCGTGACGCTCCTAAATCGCATCAGAGTACCACTCCTGGGGGGGCCTCAACACAGCGAATCAACGTGACTGTTGCGTCATGGCATCTGTGAATCATGCCAAAACATGCCGGTGTGTGCGAAATTCGCTGGCCCACTAGGCCAGACGCACGCTAAGATCTCCAGGAACAGGTTAAACATCAATTCTAGTTCGCGCACGCGGGGCGGCTACTGTGGCCCCCACACGAAAAGTACCCCGAACACGTCCCGGCCAGTGCGGTTCAAAGATGGTTTTCCTCGTCGGCGCGGCCTTCCAAGACAGAACGCCCCAGGAACGCGCCAAAAAAACTCCGAGACTCCCCCGCCACGGTCCAAGGGGCCCCGAGTCGCCGAAAGATTGCTCCAAGACGCCCATGCTGGTCTCCAGACGGCCCTAGACGCCGACGCCGCCGAGAAGCTCCAAAAGAGCCTCAAGAGGCCCTCCAAGAGAGCCCCAACAAGCACAAATCGTCTCATTTCTTTAGGGAAACGCACAGCTCTGGCATAGGCGACGCTCGGAGGTTCACAGCGTCCAAGACTGCTCAAGAGCCCCCAAAGATCGCCCCGAGATGGCCCAACACGCCCCCAAAATGCGCCTAAAAGAGCCCAGGAGGGACACACAACGGCCCAAAAAGGCTGCCTTCGAGGCCTCCCGGAGCGTTCCAAGAACGCGGCCAAGATGACCCCGAGACGCCCCCGAAACGGCCCAAGGGGCCCCGAGTAGCCGAAAGATTGCTCCAAGACGCCCATGCTGGTCTCCAGACGGCCCCAGACGCCGCCGAGAAGCTCCAAGAGAGCCTCAAGAGGCCCTCCAAGAGGGCCCCAACAAGCAAAAATCAGATCGTTTCCTTGGGAAAACGTTCGTTTCTGGCATAGACGACGCTCGGTGGCCCACAGCGTCCAAGACTGCCCAAGAGCCCCCCAAGATCGCCCCAAAATGGCCCAACACGCCCCCAAGATGCGCCGAACAGGGCCCAAGAGGGCTCCAAAACGGCCCAAGGGGGCTGCCTTCCAGGCCTCCCAGAGCGCTCCAGGAACGCACCAAGAAGGCCCCGACACGCCCCCGAGACGGCCCAAGGGGCCCCGAGTCGCCGAAAGATTGCTCCAAGACGCCCATGCTGGTCTCCGGACGGCCCCAGACGCCGCCGAGAAGCTCCAAGAGAGCCTCAAGAGGCCCTCCAAGAGAGCCCCAACAAGCAACCTCCGGAAAACGTTCGTTTCTGGCATAGACGACGCTCGGAGGCTCACAGCGTCCAAGACTGCCCAAGAGCCCCCCGATCGCCCCAAAATGGCCCAACATGCCCCCAAGATGCGCCCAAGAGGGCCTAAGAAAGCACCAAGACGGCCCAAGACACCCCCAGAGAAGGAACCCGAAATGACATTTGAAGTTTTCCAGCCCCTGAGGCCCCTCTGACACCGCCAGGTGGCTCCCAAGAAGCCCCCAAAAGTCACAAGAAACCCCCGAGAGGTCCAAAATCAAGCCCCCAGGGCAACCAAACGGCCCTGACGACGCCTCAAGAAGCTTCAGAACTGTTTCCAAAATGCTTCCAAGACACCTGCCAGGCGACCCCAACGCCGCCGCATCAAATGTCCCCTGCGCCCCATCGACAAGCTCCAGAATGAGCGTCCACGACCGGCAAATCCCGACGAAGGCACCCGACGTCCAACAAAGCACCACACAACCAGCCGCCCCAAGAAAGCACCGATTCCCCTGACAACCCCAAGAAATGCAGACGCTTTGCCCCAGCATCATTCCCCACGCAACGCTTCAGAAAACAGCTGACGCCCCTGCAGCCCAACACCACTAACGACCACTCGGCCAGACGACACAGCAGTGCCCAAAAACGGACCGGCGGAATGGGCGAAGCGATTGAATAAACGACAGCCCGCGCGCGCGGGATCCGCCGCCCCACCGGGAACGGCGCGTGAGATCCCCGCCGCATGGTCTGCACGAACTCAGTCCCGAACTCCTTGTACCAATACCCATTCGTCAGAGCCCTTGCAACCCCATCCTGGGGCCCTCCCCGCGGCCTGTTCATTCCGCCGGCCCGGGGGCCACAGCTGCGGAATAAGCGTTCTTTGGCCATCACTTTCGCTTAAGAACACACCTCGTTGGAAATGTTCGTTTTCAAGGCGCCGCCGGCCTCTCTCAGAGGCCTCTCCGGGAGCTCACTGACTCGATTTTGGAGGCCTCCAGACGCTCTCCTTGGGCGATCTTGGCCGTCCTCCAGGCCATTTTGGCCAAATCTGGCAGCCCACCCACCTATCCTCGGCCCACTTCGACTACAAAAAACAACACGCACAAAAACCTCGTAAAACGCATATGAAAATGTCAATGCTGGCCTTGTCGAGCCTCTATTATTGCCTCGTTTCGAGCTCACGTGCGTCTTCGCGGGCTCTTGGACGCACGTTGGAATCAGCGGGCGCTCTCTGCGGCTGTCCTCCACGCCTCCCGACCCCAGCCTGGGCCGTCTGGCAGCATTTTGGGGGTTTTCTTGGGCCGTCCTGGGCGCGCCCAGGGGGTCCCCAGAGTTCGTTTTGAGGCCCCCAAACTAACTGGGATCTCGTTTGTACGCCTCTCCGTATGCCTCTTCCTTTCGTCTACACTTCTGCACACCCTCAGGCGTCCTTTTTAAATCATGTTCAGATTCTCTTACGGTTTTCTGGCGTCTGTTTAAGTAAGTGTCCGGCTCTCTTGGGGCTTTCTGAGAGCCTTTAAGACCCCACTTTCGTATTTGTCCAGGCCCTCTGAGACCTGATTGTCCAATCTGGCGTTTTTGTTTAAGTAATTGTCCGGCTCTCTTGGGGTTTTCTGAAAGTCTGTAAGAACCCACTTCGCAAAAACCCAGCCAAAGCTGAGTGAACACCCCCGCTACATCCCGATTTTCCCCCCACGCAACCTCCGCGTTCCCAAAAAAATGGAGCGGCGGTGTCTGCCCCCTCAGGGGCGTTCAATTGAATTCACGACAGCCCTCGCGCGCGCGATGATATGTCGACCAAATGCACAAGAGCGCGACGCCCGAATGTTTCCCCGGAAAAACCGCACGGGCGGTACTATAGTTTTGACCGCACCTTGGGAGCCAAAGAGACGAGCGCAGCGCCTGCGGCCCCCAGCCCCGCCCCCCCCTTTATACAAAGCTAACGAAACCGACCGGAAACGACGGCAATGAACCTGATCGGTGACATCGTCGCGTCGCTTCGTTGCTCAGTTCTGCATCGCTGGGGGGAAGGGGGTGGCGCGGGCGGCGCGCCGGTCCCAGCGTGGCGACAGATTCGGCTACCGCCGCGCGTCGCTGCTTTCCGTTTCGACCGTTTTCCGAACGGCGCAAATTTCCTTGGGCAGCGCGGTCAGAAACTAGAGTACCCGGCAAGGGACACAATTGTCCGCGCTGTCGGCGACGCCGCGTGAATGTGAAAAGTGCAATGGGGTGGATGTACATCCCGGCGGCTAAATCCTGCGCGGTCGCTTTTCGCGCGGGGATTTCAAACAGACAAACGGTTGGTACAGTTGCGGACTTTCCAAACGAATGCGCGCAGCGCGGAAGCGAAAGCCACATTAAAAAACCACCCGCCCTCTATCAGAAGAGCTGGTGCAAAATCCCACCAGCCCTTTGGGCGTAGGTGATTAAGGGCGGCTCCTCTTCCAACCCCCTTTCTTCCCGTTCGGGGAGGGGTTTGTCACTGTTCCCTATTAGTATACACCCCCTCCCCCAGGCGAGTGGGAGCCAACCAGGGTCAATGCGGGCACCCCCCACCCTCCCGAATAAAAAACAATACAAAACACACTTTGCCTCCAAATTCGGAGCATGCGCAGCGAACACGATGCGGCCTCCCCCCGCCATCCCTGTCAAAAACAATATAGAGAATATAGAGTACACCTGGCGGCGGCGGCGGCTGCGGCGGCCGCGGCGGGGGCAGCGGCTGCGGTGGCTGCGGCGGTGGCGGCGGCGGTGGCGGCGGCGGCGGCGGCGGCGGCGACGGCAGCGGTGGCGGCAGCGGCTGCGGCGGCAGCGGCTGCGGCGGCGGCGATTCGGCACCGGGGGCGACGGCGGCGGGAGCGGCGGCGGCGGCGGGCGGCGCGGCGGCGGCGGCGGCGGCGGCGGCGCGGACAGCGGCGGCGGCGGCGGACAGCGGCGGCGGCGGCGGCGGCGGCGGCGGGCGGCGGCGGCGGCGGCGGAGGCGGCGGCGGCGGATTCGCCCCCAGTAGCTGCCCATCCAACTGAATATGCTGCGGCTCGGGCCAGGCTCGGGTGCTACGTATGTGTTGGGAGGGCGTGTGGGAGTGAGCGAGACGGCTTGCGGGCGGGGAGGGAGTCTTGACCCCTCCCCCTACCCCCTCCCCTGGACACTTGGACGGGGGGGGGCGCGAGGTGTCGGAGCGTCCAAAACCGCCTCGGCGAGGAAGCCAAAATTATCAATGTTACCCGGGTTTAAGCCCCATTTCGACTTTTTGGGGGGACGACGCAAATTATTATTTGATCGATCTCCTCCGAGATGGCCCCACGAGCGCTCCCGTGCCCCAAGAGGGCCCAAAGGTGTCCAGGGGGCCCCAAGAGGCCCCCAAGAGGCCCCCAGGATGCCCCCAAGAGGCTCCCAAGAGACCCCCAAGAGGCCCCAAGAGGCCCCCCAGAGGCACCCAAGACGCTCCAAGAGGCCTCGGCGACAATGCCAAACTCATTGATTGTACTAAGGTGTTGGCCACATTTTACCTCCTGGGGGGGAGAAAAAAGCTCTGCTTCAGATGACTCCAAGAGCGCCTGGGAGAGCCCAAGATGACCTTCAAGATGGCTCAAGATATCCCACGATGTCTCAAGATGGCTCCCACGATGCTCCAAGAGGCCCCAAGACCGCTCCAAGACGGCTCCAAGTGGCCAAAGAGCTCCCCCAGGAGGCCCCGAAGAGGCCAACATCCTTCCAAAACCTTGGGAGCATCCATGTTTTTGGCTTTTCTCGCCGAGGTCTCAGGATGGTTCCAAGATGGCCCAAGAGGGCTCCAAGAGCGCTCCCAAGGCTCCCAAGAGCGCTTCAAGAGGGCCCCAAGAGGCGCCCAGGAGGCCCCAGGAGGCCCCAACAGACGCCCAAGAGGCCTCCAAGAGGCTCCCAAGAGACCCCCAAGAGGCCCCAAGAAGCTCTCCGAGGCACCCAAGACGCTCTAAGAGGCGCCCGGGACCGCCAGGAGGCCCCCAAGACGCTCCAAGAGGCCTCCACTGGGGGACCCTTCCTCTGTGTGCTGGCCACTTCCCTGATCGAGGCAATTCCTCTGGGCATCGTTTCTGGATGGACTGGTGGGGTTGCGCAAAGCGTCCAGAATTTTGAAACGAATGCGCGCCGCGCTAAGGCGTGGAACACATTTTCAAAACGGCCTGCCCTCAATCCGACAAACTGTTGCACACGTTTGACAAACATGCAGGCGCGGCGCCAAAACAAAACAAATAAATTCTGAAAACGGATCGCCCCCCATCCGTAAGCAGTTTGCAGACGCTTGAAAAGAATGCGCGCGGCACTAAGGCGAGAATCACATGTTGAAAACGGCCCGCCCTCCATCCGTGCAACTTTGTCAGAACGAACGTGGGCGGCGCCGAGGCGCGAGCCACACTTGAGCACCGCCCGCCCTCCACACGTGAAATGGTAGCTTGCGTGGGCCCAAGACAGTGTCTCTCTAGAAATACACGTTGTGCAACCTATGTGGAGCCATATATGTACTGCAATGCATGCTGTGTAGCACATGCGGTGCAATCGATGTGGCTCAAAACATGCGTTTCACGATCTATGCTGTGCAATGTATGTGGAGCGATCTATGTTGTGCGATATATGCGAGGTGCAAAATATGTGGTGCAGATATGTTGTGCGATTTACGTGGTGCAATATATGCGATGCAATTTATGAGGTGCAATATACGTGTTGCATTCTATGGTGTGCAATGTATGTTGTGCAAAGAATGTGGTGCACGGTTGAGTTCTGTGTAAGGGAAGATCTGTAGCGCAATCCATGTGATGCAATCTACGTACGTCGTGCAAGTATGTGAGGCCACGACGAGGCGGCGACGGCGACATCATAGCCGCCAGACCGACATGCAGGCCCAGACGACGGGCGGCGACGAGGCGGCGACGGGGCGGCGACGGCGACAATTTAGCCGCCAGACCGGCATTCAGGAACAGACGACGGGCGGCAACGAGGCGGCCGTTGGCTGGCAACGGCGACAACATAGCCGCCAGACCGACATTTGGCCCCAGCTCCTCAGAAAAGAAACAAGAAGCCCTAAGTCCAAGCACTGTTAAAAGAACTGTTGAAAATCTGAAGCTTCAAGATCATATATGGTGAACAAAAATCTCAGGGGGAACGTCCGGCCCTCCCTACCGACACGGCTGGGGGTGCGACAGGGAGGAGTTCTTTACAAGGAACAGCAATGTAATGAGGAAGAAAACTCGCTTCCGTGCGTGTAAGTTTTCGCAACATGGCCCAACATGCTCCCCGACCGAGAAAAGATGCACACGTCCGAGCGATACCAAGAGGAAGAGCAGGAGAGGCTGGAGGCAGCCGACTCCGACTTGAGCACACTTCCGCTTCCCGAACTCCCCACCGTGCCCCGGAGAGGGGGATGATGGGCCTGTT